AATATTTAAGTTATACATCTCTCATCTTATAAGAACTTTCAGAATAAATCATATATATTTTAAGGTGGTCACCAATTATTTTAGTTTGTAAATTAAGAAACGTGTTTCTACAAGCAGTTTTACACCAACCACTGAAAGCAAAAACGAGTTTGTGTGTGAAAAATTTCTAAATCTTAAACATTTCCAAAGCTAAAGTTACACAGCAGCAAAAGAAATAAATAAATAAAACTTAACTGTTTATTTCTTTCTCTCATTTCTTTACAACAGTAACACATTTTTCATTCATTATTAATATTTTGCAGTGTAGTTTATTTCTTTATCTGTTATTTTAACGTGCTATTTTCTGTTGTTATTAATGTGTTTTTAAATAATATAACCATGTTTATTTTAATAATTTTCAATGCAGTAGCACTATCTACCACGATAGTAAGGTTTATATTAAAACCCACTTAACAACCGTACATGCGACTGGCAACATATACACAGACAAATATATATGTATATATACATTTATATATGTACAACTATTTACACAGTTCTCCTAGCTAGCTTTTTATTGTATTATCAAAACAGTGATGCTTGGCAGGAGGAGCATCCTCATGCTTGGATGGTTCAGAAGTTGGTTGCCCTCCCCTTTCAAACATGTACTTCAGCTGAGGCATATAGGATTCCAAATCCTTAATGGTTACCAACTTGTCATCAGAAGGAATATCCACCTGATGTTTCAGCATTAGATCTTTCTGCAGTCTAGAAAAACAAACATAAAAATATAAATTTGAGGTAGTAAATGAAATAATGCATGCACATATGCCAGAGTTTATCACTGATGCTAATGGAACATGAAAGGTTATTAGCAGAGACTTTTGATACCATTAGCAAAATATTCTTAAAAGTCCAATAACAAGTTTATAGCTAGAAAAAAAAAGAAGGAAAACAATTTTTTTTAAAACTACATTTGGACCTCTGAAGTCTTTTGTGAATAACATCTTTCATGCAATGCTAAGGTTCACTAAGCTACTTAGCAACAAAATTATATAAAACTTAATTGTTTTAATAAATAAAAAACTACTTAATTTTCAGTTTTCATTTCACTTCTTTTTCTGTAACTTTTACTACAGTGAAGCTACAAAGTGTTGATATCTTATGTACAATAAGCTATTGTCTGAAAATCTGTTTACACAGAGTATAAAATGCATTTAAATATCAAAGATACCAAATTATTGTTACAAAATACATAATACACGTTGTATCATTTCATCTTCAATTTCTTTATCTTTAAAACTCTTTTTTAACAATATTCGTACAAGTTTTCATTCATGCATTGTTTGAACTCGCTAGTTTTAAGGGCCTATTATTCCTTCCTTTGGGATGCACATAGGTAAAGACTATTATTAAGCCTAATTATATAAGTAACATAATACAGCAAAAGCTGAATAAGCACCAACATATTGACAACAAGTGACCATCTGATTATTCAAGGTTGACCTTACACACCCACCCTTTATTTTTGAGATAGTCATGGATTCCGTTAGAAAAATAAAACTAGAGCATAGCTTGTTTTCTCTACATCTTAAACTTGTGTCATCTCATCCTACTGTCTTCTGAATACAGCACAAAGAAATCAGAGGCCTCTATTATTTTGAACCCCTAGAAATAATCTTGAAATCCTCAATAAGATCACCTCTTACCCATCTTAAGTGTCTCCGAGAATGTGGTTAATTTTGAAAAGAAGAATGACAGACCTAGTGCTTACTCTGCTGTTTCTGTAATCATGTTACTTAATATGATAGATCTGGTCAAACTGCAATTTACTGGGCCTTAGAAAATGCCATTCAAATTAGTGCAAGTCTTACAAGTGCTTTTCCATGAGCTAGTCAACACTTATGAAGTTACGTGTGCCTACTAGAGACAGTCAGTCTTTCTGGACATGTAACAAGCAGTATAGGAGGTTTAATGCTCAAGTATTAGTGTACATATGCACATCTCAGAGCAAAAAAAATCCGTGCTCTTTATAGTTGTAAAAGTAGAAATGTTTATGAAAAAAAAGTCTCCATTTATAAATTCTCATATGAAATGTGAGGGAAAAAAAAAAAAGTATAATCTAGGTAATGTTTACCTAACAAACACTTCAAACTATACAGAACTTTATCACTGTATAAAATTGCATGAAATACTTCCATAACCCAAACTAAAACCCTTAACATTATCTTACAGTTCTTTTTGGATACAAGACTAGTTAGAATTGTTTGGTAAATGAAATGGAAAACAAACTTTTACAGCTCAAATAATTCACACTACAATGGTTAAATAATTCAAGTGTTCTTTTAACTTAAGGATGCCTTATACTCAATAGGCTTGAAGGTTTTCACAAAGTTAGACTTTCCTTCTGGATGGAAGACAGATTTGTAATGCATGTACAAAAAAATAAACAGATAACCTAGTTAAGGTGACATATTCAGAATAAAGCCAATATTTTAGGAAGCATATTTGTTAATAACTGAACTTTATGCATGGCATTATACTGGAATACACACACACACTATATATTGACATTTTCAGGTAAAAGGTGGATCACCGTTTTTAAATGTAGCCACTAAAACTTGAAAATGAACAATTAGCATCTTTCTAATGTATATTTCATTGTACACTTTAAATGTATAAGTTGTACATTTTTGTTTCTCTTCTAGAAAAAAAAAGATTCCATACCAATCCCAAAACAACTATATATTATAGAAAGACTTCCACTCAACACCCCCAATTAAAAGTGTTATAGAAGGACTTCCCACAACACATGAAATTATATCCTCTTCTGGAATTCTGGAGACAGCGACCACAATAAAATGTCAAGAATAATACATATCCACCCACTCCACTTTCAAAAAATTTTTTTTGTATAAAATGAGGTTTGAATTCAACAACAATTGAATATGGTATGTTTTAAACATACTAGTTTTTACATAGGTTTCTTCTCGGACCATGACAAAGCTGCTTGAGTATCCATGGTTGCCATCTTTTGTATTCCAGTATTTGAAGTGTACTAATCCAGAAAATAAAAATCTGAAATCCTAATGCCCTTAGCAATACCACTACACTAATTAGCAAGTGAATTTTCCAAAAAGCTAAATGCATAATTTAAAAAAATTCAAAGAATCACAACACATGACAAATTAGGTTTAAGTAAAACTGAACTTCATACAAATTTAATAAAGGAAAAAGAACATAACTTTTAGCACCATAAATTCTTGACATTACTATCAACTATGCAAGCAACACTTGGCCACAACTTAATAAACTACATTGCTAAACAAAAATGTTTATGATTTTATGAAAACTTACCTATTGTACTCATACAATGTGACTCCAAGAACATTTTGAAGCACAAACTGACATGATATTGCTGAGAGACTTGGAAATAGTTGGTGTACCATTTCAGATACACTTGTTGCTAGATTTTTATCATTTTGATAAATATCTAAGTTCACAGCTGGCAGTTTCCTTCCTTCTAGAAAAGCTTCTTGATATGAAAAAGGTGAAATATCAGTAGGCTGCGTTGATTGTAGTATGTCTGTATCAAGAGATATTCCACAAGATTCTGATGCTAATGATCCATTTGTATGATTAGCTGATATTCCTCTAGTTATTGGTGAAGGGGGAGGGCTGCATAGGTCAATTACCAGTCCTGCTGCATTTCCTGTTGTTGCTCTATTAAGATGATGTGCAAGAGGCAGTGGGGATGAAATACCTGGATGTGCTGGTGTAGACTGTGGAGGAGTTGGGTAATGTGGTGGAGGCATGTTTGATCCAAACAAAGTGGGACTCCTTAGAGTCTTTGCTTCTGCTTCTGGAAGACTGTTCATTGTTTCTCCTTCTCTAATATTGGAGAGTAACATGTTGGTTGCTTCTGAAACTGAAGAAAGTGGAGAAGTCTGAAGTGCATGTCTTAAAGCACTGTTTGGTACACTTGCATTTCTAACTGAATGACTTCCCCTTAAGGAATTACCTTCACCATTTAATTGGCAATTTACATCAAGAATTAAAGGAGGTGGTTCTGGCAAAGTGTCTTGTTGTCTCTGTTGAAATACTGGAGAATGATTAGTTCCTTTTGCTATGTTTCCAAACATATTCTGCTGAAGGAGATTTGGAGTAACTTGCTGTGAGGAGAAAACTTGATGATCTCCTAAATGATGATTATGCAGGTTCAACAACATGTGTGAACTGCTCACCGGGTAATTACCTGATGAAGTGCTTAGAGGTGGAAATACTAATCTTTCATGATTTGTTGAAGTACTCGATAAAGAAGGAGAATCTAAGTGACTCATCAAGCTTCCTGGGGAAGGAACAAGATAACCACTTGCTGGTAATGCTGGCATATGTCCTCTCAAAACAGTTGTAGTTGGAATTGGTTGTCCTCTATTGTCAACAACCTGGTAGCCATCATGTACTGCCCCATTCACTTTTGGAGAAGTTGTAGGTCTCATTGGTGCATTATGATGACCAATGTAAAAGGGGGATAAATGTCTATTTTCTTCTAAACCATCTTTTGTGCTATTAGATGTCTGTGCTTGCAAATGTTGAATTTCATTTTGATCTGTGTATGTGTTTATTGTTTGTCTAGCAACCTGATCTGGAAATACAGACACATTCCAAATTCTTTGAATACTATCAGGGGAAGGTAAAGGAGATATGTGGCCAGATACTTGACTTTGTCCATTGTTTACATGAAGTAAGGGTGTTTTTGGCCACCATTCTTGCATTACTGGTACCTGACCAGATGAAAAAAATAATTTATCCACACTGACTAAGTAGGTCCCTTTCTTTAACTTGGTCTTGTTAAGCTGAGCAACATGACACAAAAAGCAAAGATAGGCTAGGTCCCAGTCATTTACATTTCGAGATGCATCAGCTAGTACACCATTTGGTAGCATAGTAAATGGCACATACTTTGATCCATTTTTCTCAATGTAGGGTAAAACAATGTTATTCATCATTATCAAACCACATTTCTTAGCCAAAAGCCTATCACCAGAAACAGGAAATAACTTGCTGCGACAAGTCTCAAGAAACTCGTGAAAACATAGTATTTCTGATAAACAAACAACAACATCTTTAGATGTGAACGTCTTTTGTCCAAATTGAAAAGCACAATGAAATCCATTTATTTCATTAAGAAGTCTGGCCTCATTTTCAGTTATGAAATAACTTTTAATATTTGTACAGGTAAAAACTACCCATGGCAAAACTCTAGAATATTTGCTCACTACTTTTGCTTCAACCATTCTTACGGCAATGAATTTCTCTTCTCCTCGTAAAAGGAAGGGTAGATGAACACCCCCAATTGTTGTCCACCCAAAAACTCCCTGAATGCTACAAATATCTAAGGGAGGTGCAACAGGTTCTTTGCTCTCTAGTTGCACTTGGTTTTGTACACGAACACTGTTTGCAGACTTTAGCTGTTGCTCAATGTTATTTTGAGAGGTGTTTGAAATAGGTAGATAAGATGGTGGTAAAGATAAATTATGGTGTCCAAAAGTTTTTTTGTCCTTGCCGTCATTCTGAGACTTGAAAGAATCATCTTGTTTTTCTTTTTTCACCACTACTTCTGTATTTTCTTGATTCCCTGACAAAGAATTTCCTATGGCTGCCTGTGTTTCTGCCATCCTAGAATAAACATAGTAAATACTGATCCTAATGAAATAGGTCAGACTCTAATGCTTTTGAAGTGTGAAACGATTTAACTTGTGTAACTATCCTCTGAACAGGAATAAAGTATCTTCTTAATGTCAAAATCAATAATTTCAGACACAAATTCTTCCCCATAGTCAGCATTAACACCTGAAAAAACAAAACAAAAAAACATAAGGTCATATGCCTTATTACTAAAATCCTGAAACTACTGAGCAGTTAAGGTCATAAATTGTTTCCTTTTGCAATATCTTCATAGTTTAAGTCAAACTACTCTAACCACTACTGAAGCAGGCTAAAGTACAATACACTTAGAAATATCTATCAGTTTAGACCTTAATTTGTGGTTAAACATCACAACAGACACTTGGAAGTTTTACACACAATTATTTTTGGATCTAACTATAGAATTGTAAGCCATAGATGTGTACAAGTACCACCAACATGCTTCTCACACTACAAACAAGACCTCCAACTCACTACTAAACATTTACAACAATGTATCTTGTATTTGCTCTAGTCAGTTTAATTTTTCCAAAAACATTAAACTGTTTCTTTCTTGAGTAGTAATTACTAAAAGGTAGCATGACATACCTTAAAAATAAAATTTTATTTTCTATAAAAGAGTTTAAAAAATTCTAAGTGGGATCAGCGTTGTTTTTTTCTTTTCAAGTACAAACTTTTAGCTTATAGCTCCGTCATCTCTTGACCGATTTGAGATCTAATTACAATTTTGGATTCTGGAAGTCAAACCCCTTTTATCAATATATTTGATCTTGGCCAAGGTCTCATAGATTAATAAATTTTAATCTTGCCTGAAATAATTTCAATTTGAGGGTAGGCTGGTAGAGATCCTGATGAGTAATGAAACTTAATCGGGTATACATGCACCCCACATTTGGTACTGCTGGTGCACAAAGTATAACTAATAAAAATGGAAAAAAGGTCTCATAGATGTTGATGCTTTCCTCTTCTTTCAACTAGACTAAGTGTAGTTTTAGAATGAAAGATGTTTGTTATGATGAAAAGAACTACCTTGTCTATGTTAAAGATCTATTTTGAATACCCAAGGGAAAATAAAACATGTTAAAGATTTATCATGCAACTTAAGAGTAAATTCTTTCATTTCTACATTCAAAAATTTAAACAGTAGTACTAAACTTGGTGACTAATAAGCATAAAGTTGTATTTAAAGGTCAGCTGAGCATATGGATCTCTCAACAAGAAAAGGAATCCATATAATACAGGAGCCGACTGAATATACATGTACAGTCGCACAGTACTCTTTAAAATGTCCATACTACAAATACACCTATATAAAAACTGACTGTCATTAAAATGTAATCATGTAACTGTAAAAGCAGACTGAACAATTAACACAAACTTTTCCATATTTAAACTGATTTTGTAAGAAGTCAACCAGCAAAACATGCTAACAAATACAAAGATTTTAATGTAACTTTTGTATTCTATCACTTTTTGGTTTCCCTTGACAATCAATGACAAATAAAAATTTAAAGTTCAAGAATACATCTAACATATGAACAAATTGGTCCTTCATTGCTGTCTTTTCACACCCACCACTGAGGAAAATTAATAATTAAAATTCAAATCTACCCTTTATTTCTCTTCACTGGAGGCTAGCCCAACTTTTCAGAATTTTAAACTTGTATCCTCTTATTCTATTATCTACGAGATACGTCACAAACAAATCAGAGGCCTTTACCCTATCAATTCCTAGCCTTCTTTTCTCAAGATGAAATAAATTAACTGATCTTAACCTAACCCCATAAGAGAATTCTGAAATAATCCTAGCAATCCTCCTCTAAATATTTTCCAATACAAATAAGGAAACCAAAGGTACATACTAATCATGGTTCATATGAAGAAAAAGTGAATATATTTACTACAAACAGCAGATACATTGCCTTGATAACTTAATTTGCTTTTATCTATATTAAATGGATAAGCAACTGGTTAAACAGACCATGTTTGTGAGTCATTTGAATTTCTACTATGTGAAAGTGATACTTAGTACCATGTGTAAATCAGTTACCATTGCCATTACTTGCATTCAGTAGACTTTCATTATTAATGATACACATGTTATCCTCATGAAGCCAATAAAATAAATAAATACATCCCAAACTGAAAGTACTTTTGCTAGTTATTATTATAATTTTTTAAAAAGCATTATATTAAATATAACTGTAAATGACAGGGTAGGAATTATCTACTTGAGACTTGTGTCCTACCGAATCAAACCGTGTACATGATTTGCTGAGAAAATGTGCAAATACAAATGTCGTCAGCACAAGGTTGCTGGTTTGTTTATGTTGTTAACCTGGCATAAGATTTTCAGGTAAACAAACCAATCTCCCAAATGATACAAAGTACTCTTCTCCATCATAACAAACATCTATGTTGTAAGTTATACATGTTACATGCAAAGGACATTAATGGGAAAAAAAACAACAACAACAACAAACATACTGACAAATGGGCTAAAAGTAGAAAGCACTAACGACGACTTTAGTGCAACTATAAAATGTTTACTACATGTTAAATCTTACGAGTTGTGTCAATTATCCAGACCCTCACAGCAAAAATTAAGTCGTTTAATAACCTGATTTACCCAGAGGACTTAATGGGCCTAGATTATATTGGCTCAATATCAATAATTTGAAGAAATTTCATAATGTCCTAGATGTCAACGAGTGCTAACAGAGTGGAAATATTTTCTGCCAGAAATGTCACTGCCTTACCAAATAACTCAAATCTCATCGTGACAATTATTAGTTCCTAGTAATACAATACAAACCTGTGTTATTTCCTCAAGATTAGAAAGGCATATTTAAGATGGCTAAGTAGTATTAAAGACCTGAAAATAAGCCTCATTTGAATGAAGAGATACCATAAACATCAGGAAGTTGCCTGTTTTGGACTCGAGTCCTGAGAATACAATTTCAGATTCAATTCTTATTTAGAACAAGTTTTTTTAAAACCCTGATTTGCTATAAGTAACCAACTAATGATCATTTTCTTCCTGAGGGCCATCCATCAAAGTTGATCAGATGGAGAGTCAAACCACCTATACCCATGTCTGGCTCAGCAGTTGATCCAGTGTGCTGTGTTTAAAAGAACTGTCTGATAGAGACCAACTAGTGTGCTGTGTTGATGGCCTGAGCTTGCCATGTTGTAGGCTTGGTGATGAGTCTTATCCGAGTGGGGAAATACTGTAAACATAGGGTGGGAGTTATTTGTTTAGCATTTCTGTCCTGACAGCATATATGTTAGTGTGCTTGGACTCAAGCCCTGTTTAAGAGATCAAGAATAAGGCACACCTCAAGGGTAAAATGTGTGTGTGTCTGTTATAAAAACACTTATTTACAATTCCTTAAAGTCATTTGAAAAGGCCAAAGCAAAATCAATGACAAAAATAAAATGTTCTGAAGATAGAATTTGGACTATTTGATAAGATTATAAAGTAGGAAAAAGTTTAGAGCATTTAATACCAAACATTAGTGTACAACTAAATGAAGAAGCAAGTATCTACTTACAGAACAAACAAGACTAAAAGAAATACAGATTCCAAAGCCAACACAACAAACTAAATTCTGCATAATTATTAGGGATAAGACAAAACTATGGAAGCCTGACAATGATACTTCTCTACAGCAAGAGGAAAAAAAAGCATTCTGGTAATCAAATATGCTCAAAAGACAGGACAGAATATTCTTAGCTTTGACCACAATCACCAAAGGAAGTGCCAGAAATAAAGTATTAACAGACCAAATGAAAACAACTAAAAAGCAGAAATGGAAAGATGTTCTATCTGAAAACTAGATTCAAATATTCACAATAACAGATGAGTAGGAAGCTATAAGAAAAAAAAATTATTCAGAGAATATTGCATTATGAAAACAGGCTCAAACAATATGAACCATATAAAACTGTGGTAGTCCTACTCTGAACACTTTCAAGTAGATCAAAAACACAACAATCCAAACAAGGTATCACTAGGATCTTTTATGAAGTGAAAACAAACTTGTCACTATTAAACATGTCTGTGTAAACAGGTTATATGGTTGGTTCTAATCATTACCTAAGGAAGCAGGAGAGACCTTCCAGAGAACAGACATACTGCACAAGTTAACAGTCATGTAAAGGAGAATATTGGTTTACCAAGTCTCCAACATCCAAAAATTGAAACCTTCATAAGATGTGTGGTAAGGTTAAATACTATCAATTTGAAAACAGATACTACTATGCATGAAGAATCCTGTTATGTAGTATCGAATGTTTACAAAAAACTTTACATATGAAAAGCACATGTTGCTCTTGTGTGACCACAAACTATAGAGAACGGAAGCTCCTAAAAATAGTGGGAAAGGGTTTGTGTCAAAGGCTTATGTACATTTCCCTATATGCAATTTAAGAATTATGCTAACAAAAAATATATCTAGTGTACAAGAGTTTTAAGCATGGAGCAAAGATATTATAAACCAAGTACTCAATGAGCATGGGTAGCGAGATCCTGAATAGTTCATCCTCATCAACTTAAAAAGGATGGCAATCAAAGCTCCGGATGAGAAAAGAAAAAAAGATTGTAGACAGGATGAATGAAGAGAATTCAATAACAACATTCTTTTTATGTTAGGAATTATTATATGAGCAATGGAGCAAAGAATAGTCTAAACAATACCTAAAAAATATAACAATCTGCACTAAAGCACTTGATAAGGATTAGCATAATGCCAGCTGTACAAATGCACCTGCAAATATGAAGTGTATTAAGCAATCACCACCCTATACATTTGTTATATCAAACAAAAATGCAATAGAAAAGCTATTCAAGTAGTTATTATTTAAAGACCCAGTTATGCTGGCCATATTTTAAGTATTAGTGTTACTTGTTATGGTCGCAATGCCAGATCCAAATTTTTTACAACTAGCATGAACTAAGCATTAATCACTCTTTTGAACAAGTGTTTACTTGTATTAACTATGTGACTTTTACATGCTTCAAACAAACTTGGTTCTTCACTTCAAAGGGAATAAAGTCATGATATTTTTTTAGGTTAATTATTAAAAATCTTAATGATATTACTTGTAAAATAGCAAAATTATACTAAAATAAACATAAAGGCATGCCTTAATTTTACATTTTCATGGATGTCATAGAACTTTAGAAACACTCCTTGCCGACCAGTTTACATGAAGGCTATACTTAATCCATTTGGCTTAAAGTAACCTTTTAAAACCACTCAGAGAAAATCATATTTCTAATGTTAACATAATTAAAATTAGTGCACATGCATGTGTAGGACAGAATCAAATCACCAGAAGAGTAAACATGTCTAGGGCTTATTTACTATTTTCTTTCAGCAAAATTGATTTAAAAAATACTGTTTTAAGTAGCAAAAATATGTAAATCATGATTAATGCTACTCAGCATTCAGATAACAAACGTCAAGAAAGTTTCATTCAACAAAAATCACAGTCCAGTCAATCTACACAGTTTTGACCCTTAACCCCAAATAAATTACAATATAAATGAAATATGAACCATTTGATTTGATGTTGTATGCTCTTGAAAATATAACAAAATCCTAGGAGTGAAACATACCTTCTTAGGATAAAAACTGTACTTAAACAAATAAAACTGGGATAAAAGATAACTTAATTTCATAGCAGATTTTGGTGAAACGTGGCTCATTTGAAGTGCGTTACAAAGTTCTATGGAATGGTAAACAAAATAAATGTTTTATGAGTAACAGTTGTTTTTTGGTAATGAATGCTGTAATTGGTTTTAACCTAGCAAAGAATTGTAGAAAAAAAAACACATTGAGAACTGCAAAAATAACTTCAAATGGTAGTAAGGAAAAATGCAGACAGACAGATATGTTGTCTGACTGATTAGATTACTCATCATCAATATGGAACTGTAACAATTTATCTCGCAACATTTACTGTATGCTGGTGAACAGAGAAATCCATTATTCCTGCAATTACATTACAGATTTGAGCAACCTCCTGTCCAAGTACATTTAATTACACTCAGTCTGGTGCAAATAGCTTAATGGAATGTTTCCCATAATTTGATCACCACATACAACCCATTCATACTATTATGGATCCATGTTTTCATCTACCCCCATCCACTGTCTAATCTTATAATACACGTGAAGGGTATTGTATTTAGTAGCTGCAAATGTTGAGGGCAAAACATTTGCCTTGACATACACACATTTGCTTGATGCCACTTTATTGCAAAGCACATTACAATACATAAAAGCTAAACCTTCCTTTGTCTTGCATAAACATGCTAATGCCTTCTCACCAGCTTCAATAATGTGGTCATTTTTTGAATCAACACTAAGAAAGACAAGAGCATTATGTCTGGAAACATTGTTTTCCCCATAAAGAGTCAAAGCAAGACATCATTTACAATCCCCAAAATACCGGATGTTATGTTACTTGGCATGTAAATATTATTATTATATACAGCTGGATCAAGGGTAGTCTTTGTTAACTGTATGGCCCACAATCTTTCACTTTTTCACACATTTTGTTTAGTTCTGTTCTGAAATATACATCATGTAAGCATTAAGACGTGCATGATAGTATAAAAGAACAAGAAATTTTGTTCCCTCCATCAATAATTTCTGATGATATAACAGCAGTTTAGACAATCTACATCTCCTCGGGTTTGACGTGTTTCTTATCCATTACCTTATAGACCCTCACTGAACAATGATATGAATTACTGCTTATTTTCCTTGTTATCAAAAACTTTTTTTTTTTTTTTTCACAGCAAGAATCATATCTCCAGTAAATGTGACTACTGTACCAATGAATCCTCCTGTCCATCTAAAAGTGAGTTATGTCCTTAGTAGACGAACCACCTTTGTTTCCATCAAATACAATTATCGCTTGACCATCAATACCTGGGTTTTATGAAGTTATTACAGGAATTACAAATGGTATTGTATGACATACCACATCTGAATGGAACATGCTGTAAAAGCAAACCACCATCAAGAACTTACATTATGTTTTCACCAGAGGATGCAACAGAACCTACACTGATAATTTTCCAAATAGCATCTGCTAGCATAAATTTGTTTGCTTTCTCCAAGAGGTCAGGATAGGTACACATTTTACACTGGAATAGCAATGAATTTTCCTCTGTAGATCCCTCTGCTACAATTAATCTTTGGAACAACAACTGCAGATCCACTTGCATTTTCTCATCTTCTATTTTCACTATATTTCCGACGGTTAAGATTACTGCTTGGTCATTACTTTAAAAAAATGTAGTTCTGAACATTTTTGTCTGTCATCTGCTTCATTATTCGTTCTCCAATCTGCTTTGCCATACCTACATTTATAGTTGCATCTACATAATGTCATTTGCAATATTCTGTAAAGTACTATCCAAACTGAACAGATTTCTGTTTTGCACTGGCTTGGTTAATTCCTTCTACACCTTTATGTTTTAACAAAACCGTACCTTGCACACTACCGAGAGGTTCAGTACATAAAATATATGTATCCATTCTAACAGTTTAATGAAAAACAGACAACAACAACAAACTCAGAAATAAACATTTACTAATAATATAGATCCTCATACTAGAAGTACTCACATTGCAAATAAGCACTTGCCAATAAAGATCAATATTACAAATTCCTTAATATACTGTTTTTGAAGACCATCTTTATCAATGATCTTTGTCTACAATTAGTCTCTTTGCCAAATAAAAAAGTTTTTTAAAGCATGATGGACTTAATAGTGCATATTTTTATTTTAAATGATTACTCTGAAAAATATACTTAAATTGACTATTTTTTTCACTTGAAAACAAACAAAACAATTAACTTTGCCTGGAAGGGATGACTTATGAAAACAAAATTATGTATAAACATTTAAATTCAATATACAAACCATGATAGAGAATACTGTCAATAACTAGTTCTAGTCTTTAAAACTATGAAAAATTCAGTTTTTCATATCTTGTCACTATAATTTTGAACTACTACCATTCAAGTCAACAGTATGAAGTCTGCTTAAACTCTTAATAATTTTGAGCATAGGAATAGTCAATTATAATTTTTCTACAATCTGTAAGAAAAAAAAAAAAAAGTCCAAACATCATAGTACATCTACATACAATACCAGGTATAATTATCATTATAGCTGCTTTGGTATTCTAATGTAAAAGTACTTAATATTTTGAAAATGCATCACAGCATTTAATAAAACACAAAGCCACTTGTTCAACACATGTTTACACTACTTCATATGAAAAATAAAAATGACCAACAATGTCTATTATCATAAGTGTAACTTTTAGACAAAAGAAAGCTTTTTACCAGTTAGCTAGACCTAAGCATATGGTCTCATTCCTAATTACAGTTTAAAAGCTTCTAAATTTTAATCTGATTTAAGTATTCCCCAAATTTTTAAGTTCAAGTTTATGAAGAATTTATGAAGCAAAATAAAATGTAAAACAAAGTCATGTAAAGGCAGGCATAACTGAAAGTTCACAAAGCACAAAGTTTGATCTGAACTTTGTCAACCAAAATTTATTTTTTTTACACCATATCTGTGTTTATTTGTAACCTCTTACAGCTTGTACATGCACATGCTTTTATTCATAATTTAAATATTTGGATGATATATCATATAACTGATTTCACTCTGGTGCTTGCTTATAAAACCTTTCATCCAGAACTCTACACTTTGGTTAAGGAATTGAGTTATAAACGTATGTCATTGTCATTCACATATATATACAAAACGATATCAATTCACAATTGTTTTGGTTAATTCTGCATTTCCGAGTTACTGATAAGACTGCTAGGAGAAAGTAATAATAATACCCACTGTTGCGAGTTTTTAAATTATACAAAACAACGAAGGGTATCACATTCTCACAAAACCATACTTGTGACGAGTAATTAGTTACAATAAAGATACGACCCCTTGCAGTACGTACAACTACAAGTAAAAAAAAAAACGCCTTAAGAGTAACAGTATTACTATTAGGCTTAACAAAACTACACGTACCTTAAGATACGCAACACAAACTTTCATTTTGTCAAATTTACTGAAATATGATTATTATAACATCACAGTGGTAAACAAGTAAACGTAACAATATTTTATGAGACAAATATTTAAGATATGGGCTTATATTTAACTCATAAAGCAGGTAAGTCCACGATGAATGACGTCACACAAGTGACTGGCTAATGCCATTGGCAACACTTACCACTACCAGGTTGCCTGACCTTGGCTGCCAAATACTTACTTAGTGGTGGATCTGTCTTGATTTGGTATTATTAATGTAAATATAAGTTACAGTTTTCCTCTTTGTTTTCATCGTTGCATTAGGAACAAAACGAAAAATTCCCACGTAACCTTCTTTGTTAAGGTTTTCCAGCAAGAACCAAGCAAAACAAGCCTAATGAAACTAGTACTCACCATTCCTTTGCCGCCTTCTCCCTCGTTTTGGAGGCGGACTGGAAAAGTCCATGTAAGCACGCGGGGTGTTCGAGATGGTGTTCTTGTTTGGATTAAACACCACTTTGACCTCAACCACTTCGTGCGAGGGGTGTGGGTTGTCAGTCTAAAAATACTTTCATGGCATTTCGTGTAAAAAGAAAAATGATTCTAACTACCTTAGTTGACTCTTTTAATTAAGTTTAAATGGAATACATTTAACAGATTAGCACAGTTTGCACAAATTACAAGGTATATTTTAATAAATAATCGAATGAGTCACTCACCAAGGACATGTAGAGGTACATCTACCACGTGCCATATTGGCGCGTACTATACCTTTACACTGTACGCGTTTAGTTCATATAATTAGCAGACAAATGTTCTCATTTTATTATAACTGTAGCTTAAAAGCAACAATTTACTGCTAGTTAAACTGTTAATTTAAGAAATAATATAATGCTAAAGCAGTATTATTTATGACGTCACAGAGTCATAATACTCCTCTTGCTACCGCGATGCAACAGCAACAAACAAGTTATTCGGAGCATGTAGGTCTCAGAACACGTATGCCCTCAAGTATGATAGAAAAGTCCATTAGCGTATCTGGGGAGAGGAGCTTTAAGCTGTATGTCTTTGGGAGAAATGTATTGATAAATGATACATAGTTGGTAAAAAAGTGTATTGTAATAATCCAGCATGTATAGTCATGGAAATAATTAGCATACAAAGTTACCAAAAAGATTATTTTAAATTATAACACATGTTTGACAGGAGTATTTTGAGTGTGATCCCTGTAGAGTGGCCCGCCAACCCGTGTGATAATTACAAGTAGTGCTAACTTCAAGTAAAATCCGCTTTTGCCTTTCTTCATTTTTATAATATAAAATACTGCTAGTTATATGCAAAATGAGCGTTCACTGAGTGTAACAGAAACATATATATTATAAATGTTTCGTTAAACTAATTTATGGCTTGATTACTAAAGTACTAGTTTCATGTAAAAAACATACTGTATCAAATTATTTGACATTGAAGTCCAAAACACGGATAAGGAAATCTCCGTGCTTGTTTGGGAATTTTGCGTAAAGCCAATTTAGAAGCGATAGACAGGAGGGAATGTCACTCAGTGCCAGCTCTTGGGCTATTATTTTACCAATGTAAAGTGGGATTGCCTGTAACATTATAACGCCCCACTGCTAAAAGGGCGAGAATATTCGGTAACAGGATTCGAACTCGCAAATTGTAAGTCGAGCGTTTTAACCATCAGGCCATTAGCTCCCCCAAATTCCTCCTCGCAAGCGTAAAACATTATTTAGTCAAACAATATGGGAAGGAGAGCCGTTGTTCTCTGTTGTTGCTGTTTTTAGCGCATAGCTAAACAATGGATTCTGCCCTCTGTATACCGTGGGGAATCAAACCCGGAATTTTTCCTTTGTAGGTTCGTAACTTACCACTTGCCTATCGGTGGGGGGGGGGGGAAGTATGGTTCTTTATTTAACTTTGTTTGTTCCAAGTTTTACAAAGACATCAACATTACTTCAAAAAACACTGCTTATCTAATGCATATCACTTGGTGATGAAAAACAGTCTTTTTTCTTTAATAATAAAAATTTCATTTGCAGTATGTTTCTAGATGAAAACAGAAACCTGTAACCAAAAATAGCTTCTCGCAGGAATCAGATAAATTCATGTCAGCAATATTAATTAATACACCTTATTACATTTGCAAAATTACACTTAGCATAGTCTGAAAAAGACACTATCTTGTACATCCGTACTCAGTGTTTACTTAAATATAGCTAACAAATTCCACAATGAAAAAGTAACATCACAAATTCCTTAACATCGATATCAGTACTACTAACATATGATAAAATGTTCCATATAAAAATCATGAAGTAGTTATAGTTGTAGATTTATTAGCTGTTAGTCGAATAGAGTTACAGGTCTAAATCAAATAAATCCATCACATGTTCACATTTTAAAACGGAATCAGATAAAATATAACAGACATGTTGCGTGAAGCACATACAATTATGGTTTATCATACTTCTTACATATTTTAAACATATGATACGATTATGGTTTATCCTACTTCTTACATATTTTAAACATGTGATACGATTATCGTTTATCCTACTTCTTACATACTTTAGATATATCATCCGATTATCATTTATCCTACTTCTTACATATTTTATACATAGTGTTACGTCTCCGTTTGTTAATTGATTTCCCCTAAATTCGTTCCGACGAAACTTAGCGACACAAGTCCTTTCTTAAATAAAACTGGTTTATTCTTTCTGAATATAACTTTACCGATACACTTATTTTCAACAGTCGCTCTATAACAAACGTTTTAACAACGATCGTTAACTTCAACAATACTTTCTGACTGCAGTTCAATTACTCACTACCTACACACGTTGTCCCGTCACGTTGTGAGCGTCTTATATATATACCAGACAAACATATATCTAGTAAATGCTAGGGCATTCACGAAGGAACAAGGTATTTCTAGAAAATAGGTGGCGTGACACTAGTCACGTGACCTCGCTGACGCAACAATATGATACGATTATGGTTTAGCCTACTTCTTACATATTTTAAACATATGATACGATTATGGTTTATCCTACTTCTTACATATTTTAAACATATGATATGATTATGGTTTATCCTACTTCTTACATATTTTAAACATATGATATGATTATGGTTTATCCTACTTCTTACATATTTTAGATGTATGATATGATTATGGTTTATCCTACTTCTTACATATTTTAGATGT